ACCCGTAGTAACCAAAGTATCATCCATAAAACTCCCGAGCTCTAGTAGATCTTCATTCTTTTTCTTCCTCCTGGAAGTGTAAACATGTCATTCCTCCTCCGAAGAATCCGCCTGATGGGGTAGAGCTAAAGCAGAAGGTTCTACCCACAATAGGTTCTACAATATGTGAAGTATGAGTTGTCACTACACCGGATACTTCTTGAAGAAGTGGAGCTGCGAGGCTCTCCTGATTATCAGTCCGAACACTATCATTTATAGATAATAGTCCATCAGTATTATTTTGTATGGAGTTTGTAGGTGTCAGCATCGCATCACTTGCAGTAACAGTAACAGCTGTCTCATAGGGGGGTCCTCAGGTGCAACAAACACCTCCTGTCTGGTATATCTTCCTCAGGTGGAACTAAAATGTCCACAGCAGTGGAGTTAGACCCATTCTTATTCACTTCAACCTTAGATTTCAAATTAGGATGAAATTTGTGGCATTTAGCAAGGATATGACCAAACATCTTACAATGGGTACAATATGGGGGTTTGTGTTCCATGACGATTTGTTGCCAATATCCATTATGGTTGTGTCCAACCAGACTTCAGTAACATCAGATAAAGTAATATCCATTTCCACAAGTATTTTGGCCACCGAGGGTCTGATTAGGTTGAAAGTAGGCAGATCTAGTTTCAAAGGATCCCCAAAAATGACCCCAATAGAGTAGAGAACCTGATGATGAAAAAAATGCAGCTTGAGACCAGGTAAACTAAACCATACCGGTACAGTGGGAGTTTCATGATTTTGGTCAAATTAGAAGACCACTTGAGTAACTTCATTGATTTACCTTTGATATTAAGATATTTCTTAGAGAAAATTCTGGTGTAGACTTCAACCACTGTTAGTTGGATCAACACATGTCTCATATCCATGAGTCGCACTTTCCACTTGTCTGCTAGCTTAAGATCATCAACTCTCTTTCTAATAACATCAATAAGAGGGTGCCCCCACTGAAATTTTTCAATAAGAGCAAACTTGAATTTTTCCGTCATGGTAGAAATTTCTGATTCAAAGAAAAAGATTGTTGTTTTTCCATCTTTCCTACTTTCCTTCTTAATAAAAGTACAACCATTTGTGCCCTCACGAGATTCCTAATAACTTGAGGGGAATCCCACTGCAGATTCTACCTGAGGGTTACCCAATTCGTGGGCAAATGGGAACTTTGTCCGACTCAACCAAACAAGAAGGAAAAGCCATCAGAGCAAGGAGAGCTGTCTGCGTTGAGCTACAGTGAAGAACAGTGAATGACAAGCGGGTCTGTCACAGATGTGCCAGAGGCAGAGCCGAGCAGAAGACGCGTCGAGCGGCTCTGTCAGAAGCAAATGCGTCGAGCGGCTCTGTCAAAAGACAAACGGATGAGTGGCTATGTCAGAAGCGAACGCGTCGAGCAGAAGCGAAAGCGTCATCGTCGAGACACAGACGAAGGCCGACGAGCGCAAGCCGACGAAGACAAGTGCGAGCCGATGAAGGAGAAAGGAGCGGAAGCTTCGAGCAACAAAATCAATGGCGATCGCCATTCAAAACCCTAGCACAATAGTCGTCCGCCATTCTTCGAAAGATTATGTAGAGGCTATGATACGAACCCCTGGCCACCCTCATATGCCTAACTACTCCATCTCGCGTTGCATGACAGATGTAGCAATGACAACAAGTTGGAATGAGAGAAATGGCAGGCTGAGCGGCTGAAACAAAAGAAAACAATCGGGAACAACTGTTAGGGGTGGTGGCAGTGAGCGGGAATGACATCTACAGTGGAGGGGAAGACAACAAAGGGAGGGTCGTCCAGAGGCTTCAGTAGTAAGGGGGGTGGTTGAATAGCTGAGACAGGCAGCTGGAATGAGTTGCAACAAGGTGATAGGTGGCTGGAAAGGATGATAGTAGGTGGAGGAGGTGATGGCTGGTAGGTAGAGTTGCAAGAAGACAACATTAGTGCTGACTGGTGGTTTCGACAACAAGGAAAGGCGGCGGTAGTAGCGAAGGGAGGGTTGCAAAGGATGGGAAATCGGGATAAATTTCTTGACGGGATCAAACTATAGTTGGAGAACCATTTGATCTTTGGGAGATGGTTACCACCTCAAACGAATTACAGTCAGAGCACCTTCTCGCCTTCGGTTTACAACCCTAGAAGTGGAACACTAAAAGTTGATGGTTGTGCTAAACAAAACATATGTAAAATTGTCAACTTAAATCACAAAAACAATATAGCAAATAGGATAATTAGGAGTAGCCCAAAAGGACTAGTCGACTCAGCGTAAAAAAAAAACATGGACAGATTACAGGAGCAGCTTCCAACGCGGAGCTTCCCACATCACGCATCAATCACGGGATTTATGCGTCCCTCCCGCATCATGAAGTATAATGACTGAAAAAAACTTATAATTTTCAAATAAAAAAATTTTAAATTATAACACAAAAATTGATTACTAGATAAGGTAAAGTAATTCAAATGTCAAGGTCAATTTTATTAATAGTGCAAACATTCCAATAACTGTTTATCAAATATCAAATATCACAAATGGAATAAAACAGGTGACCAGCTGCCCATGGGTGGTTGAATAGCATATGTGAGTTGCCAGAAGAAATAAGTACAGAAATTAAAATAGTACAATATTAGGGCACATAACCACCTCTGCAGTGAGATTAGAAGTAACCTCGCCAGATAAAGGTTTGTCCAGAACTGTTGGAAATGAAATCCCAGTTTTTGGTTCAACTGCATCTCTAGACAAAGTTCTGCCTGGTATAATGCACGTGTCACAAACTTGGTTGCCTTCCTCTTTGTTTTGTAAAAACACATGTTCACCAATCTGATCACCAACCATTCCAAGCTGGATGGAGTCCGATAGCACTTTTGCCGACCTTCCAAAAACAGAAAGAAAATCAGATGTTCCCGTAGTGGGAAACCTTGCACAAAATCTTTCAGCGAATACAACCCATGGAAAAAAATACATATAGCACAATAGATATGAAAAGCCTAAAGGTTTTATTTGCACAGAGTTAAAGGAGACTACAGAATATTGTATAGAAATCTTGCTAGATGAACCATGAAGAAGAACACTTACAGATTTTCGAAAGGAGGTACAAGAGCAGCAGCTAATGACAGCACAGGAAAAGCTTGGCATGATCCAAATTCTTTCCATAGCCTAGTAGCTGTTGAATTAGCAAACTTGGAAAAGACAAATGGAATTACAGAATGCAAATCTGCCCCAGAAAAAAAGGGCAATATCTTTATTTTGTTAGTCCTAGCAATATGTTTAATTTCAGAACAAGCTTTATGATTTTTAATATTTGATCCTCGTGAGATGCTTCTTAAAATTTTACGACCTCTACCGGGATTTGAACAGGTTGATAACCAGATAAACAGTGCCCCCGCAAACTTGGAAATACAATTGAATGCTTCTTGAAGAGCTCCACTTCCAGAAATGACTAAATGGTTGGAATTGAGCAATGAGAAATCCACAAGTGAACATAAATGTGATAAATAATTAACCCCAAATCCATTTAACACATTGGAATCCATTGAAAATATATGAGGGTTTCCATCATCAAAATTCATATCACGAAAAAGCAAGCAGCTGCTGCAAATGAGTTTTTCTTATAGTCAGAAAAGTCCTTGAGCAATCTGTTCTAGCTGACAAATTATTCTCTCCACAAGAATATCAAAATGTGCCTGCCAAAAAAGAAAACAAATGAGGTTCATGATAATATAAAGTGTATAAAATGGAGAGCATTAAAATGTTCATGCTTAAAATTATGAAAAACTTATTACTACAGTATTTTGAAATAATAAAAGGTCTTGAGAATATCAAAAATGCCGCTCTTTTTGTAATCATTACAAGTGGATGAAGTGCATATAGCATTCATGTTGAATCCGAAATTGTCTATGGATAACATCAAAACTATACTAACAAGAATGGAGAAAGATCAAGAGAAAAAATAAGAGAGAGAGAGAGAGAGAAAGAGCTTAGGAAGAAAAACTCTATGATTTGCATTAGTTGTCAGAAAGTACAGACTTATGTTCTTGAGTAAACCAAACTGAGTTAGAATGTGCCAGGCTCATCTCATGATCCTTATTTATAGGAACAAGTCAATGTCAATGCTATAGGAAATGGTACATTTAAGTAATACACAGAATTACATTGTAATGCTTAACAAAGCAGCTTGTAAAAATGAATAGGTCTACCTAACATGTTATTATGTAATTACATCAATAACTGCAACTGAACAATGTCGATCTTTGAGGAAAAGACTGCCTTGCCTATAGCAAATTCATTATACGCCTCGCAAGTACTTTACGGAATAGCAATTAGCTATAGATGTTAAGGCAAATCAACAGGCTAAGTTCATGGCTTAGTCCATAAGTCTCCACATTGAGTATAATTCTTATTTTAATCAACTTCAATATTGTTCAGAGACAAGTTCAAGTGTCAAATAAAGAGGTCAAGTACTAAGTAGATATGTTCAGTAGCCTTCTAATGAGTACCAACTTGACCCCTAAGTTGACCGGAGTGACTTTGGGTAATTTTCCGATTCTTCTATCTCTTCGAAGTGACCAGGAAAGAACAAGAGAGCTACAACAATAACAACAAGTGTTTAGCCAACTAAGTAAGGTCAGCTAAATGAATACTTTTTCTCCAATGTGTCCCATTAAGTAAAGAACAAGAGACTAAAATTTTAAAATTTATCTTGAGGAGATGGTACATTGGTTGTGATCAACTACAAAGCATTGAAAGCTATGTGACAACAAATTCATCTCCAAAGCAAATAAAAAACAAAGTGCAAAAAGGCTCCTCAAAAAATAAAGTGCATGGAAGCTATGTGACAACAAATTCATCTCCAAAGTGATCATTCAGCTGAATCTTGCAATGAAATAATCTAATTAACTATCAGCAACTTTTAAGTGCAACTCAAAAGGTTGGTACCGAAAATGTTTGCACAAATAAAATAAAAATGGCATTTGAAAGTAAATGTTAATTAATAAACTCTAAATAAAATAAAAAACTTCAAATAAAAATTTTGCTAAAACTATTGATTTTCTTTACAAATAAAAGTGCTAATTATTAACCCGTAAAGATTCTCAGAATAACTTTTTAAAAAAACAAACTATAACTAAGTTTCTTTGAATTGAGCAATTGATCCACTCCTGCTTGGGAAGAAGGCCGCTCACATAGTCGCTAGTGAGGGGCAGTCGAAGGCCGCTCACATAGTCGCTGGTGAGAGCCTGACAGCCACAATAGTTTTTTGGTTTTATTTGAAAATACAAAGGTGTGAATGTTAAGAAGCAAGTTGTGAAGATACGAAGTTTTATATTATGAAATGATCTACACCTCCGAATCTGAACGACGGCAGCGCATAGTGCTCCATGCAATCGGTACAATTCCCCAACTCGTTGTGCGTGCAAGGATGTGAATCAGACTCCGTAGCTTCACACCGCATCGCTTCAAGAGAGCACTTAAATGTTCGATTTTAATAAATCTAACCACTTATAGAATTAAAAGTAAACAGTTAGACCAAAGGGTATACAGTAGATCTACATTAGGGCGAATGTTTACATCGAAGATAAGCCTGACATATGGCTGCAGCTTATGTGAATGCTAGAGTTATATTGGAGCAAATTTTTTAAATTGAACGCACCATTTTGAAGATTAATCCATATTTTTTCTGTGTTGGTAAAAAATAACCTTTCATCAAGATTCTATTGATAAGTTTATTTTAACCTGAACGACTTTCATGTTCTCCTGAACGAACTCTAAAATGTTGGCATTTTCATTCTTACATACACATTTGAGGCGGTGGAACTAACAAACTTTCTAAATAATTCTCCATCAATAAGAAAATATTAGATAGCTTTCATTTTAAATATGCTATGATCTTTTGGAGAGTGGGTTAAGATTTTTCTAAAGGTCAAATATTCAATAAAAAGATTGATCCAGATTCGTGTGTCTTACCAATGCATTAATTCTGCTTCGTTAATGCTCGAAAAAGTAAGTCCAAAACTAGTCATCTATGCTAATGTTCATTCTTTGAAAGGAAGTCAATGAGTTGACTGAATTTTCTAGGCATTCGCTCTAGTAAAAAATATCAAATATGTCCATTTTAATTTTGACTTTGAGTGTACATTGTTGCATAACCTCTCCTCTTGCCACGTACTCCCCATTCACCTAATTTATTATGAGTAGATAGCCAGAAAAGACAATTGAATACTTTATCCATATGCGCAGCGCAAAATAAAATAAAATAAAACAAAATAAAATAAAATAACCCTACAAGAAATGTCTCATATTTGGCTTGATTACTATAACTTGAAAATAAATTTTTATTGCATAGATAAATATAATGCCTACTGAGATTTTTAATATTATTCAAATTCCAACTTCTTGGATTTCAAAGGCATTATCAATATAAAGAGGTAAGAGTAAATCATTTTCAGTACCAATTTAATTTCAAAATCAGGCTAGAAAATCAATTAATGACTACTACACCTTGATGGTAGTCAAAGTGTAAGAAACCGAGAATTCATTTAGTTCCATTGACCATTTCAGAAGCCGCTTTGAGGAATCTAGTTTTGACACTTGCCTTCAATAGATGAACTGAGGTGAATTGAATATGTGTAAAAACAAGGGAGAAATAACACAACAATAATGACTAAGTCAAGGCCAAATTCTCCATGATTAAATATCTCAATTCAGCTTCTTCAAAAATTTTATAACATAATAAATTGATCATTATTTTTCTCTCTTTCATAATAAAAAACAAATGCTAATATAATGTTCCCCTACTCTCAGATATAGCATCAATTCATCGCCAAGTTAGAGAGTTTTGGAGTACATGTGGAGAGAAAACATGGATTTAAAGTGCTTAGTACTTTTAAGAACTATGAAGAATTGTGCGCACTTATCTCTAAACTTTGAGATGAAATAGATTAAGCTCATGATTATTCTATATGTCGCTAAAGTTATTGTACTATCTTCAATGGTAGCATCTCCAAGATAGATATCACTTTATCCGGATCTATTTTGATTATCTCAGGGGTTAGAAGGAAATACTGACTTTACCTTTACATTTCAATGTATTCAAATGCATGTTGTACTTCTTCAGAGTTATTTAGCTAGGAAACCTTGAATGCATTGAGCCAAAGTTTTGTTCTTTACCAGCAAGTCATTAACATAAACTTCAATGATCTAATCTATTTGCTCTTTGAAAATGCAATCAATCGTTCTTTGGCATATTTCTCTTGCATTATCAAATAAAATGGCTTGATTTTGTAGGGTACAGTCAATAGCATTTATAAATATTGTCTTTATACAATCGATTGGATACATTTTTATTTGATGATAGTCCGAAAACATATCATGACTGCTCTTCATTGGAAAACTGATTGTGGAGTCAACCAAATGCAATGATTCTTGGAAGAGGATAGCCGTCTTCAACATAGACCGAGTTTATATTAGTAAAATCTATACACATTCTCCATTTCTCATTTGATTTATGGATCACCGCCACATTCAAAATTTGATTCAAGTACCACACTTCTAGGATAAAACCCAACTCTTAACTTTCGAACATCACAACAAATCAATACATCCAAAGTAGCAATGACTTACTAAATTTTCATTCTATTGGCCTCAGATTTATCGAAATTGAGTCTATAACATGTAATGTTAAAATTTTTGTAGCTGACTTGGCAAAAGCTTTATCATTTGAGCAAATAATGTTGATTAGTTCTTGTTGCTTTGGGTCAAATGAGCTGTGGATTTTGACTGCACAAGTTTGATCTTCTTTTGAAATGACAGCTTCCTTAACTGCCTAGGAGGTCTCAAGCAAATGCTTCTCTAAACATCAAGTCACCAAACCTCCCACTGAATATTTTCCAAAGCTTTCAAATAGCATAGTCCTGATTGAAATAAATTTCCTAGGATAGTGACAATTCGTCCTAATGCTGGAAATTTTACAATGACATGAAAGTTGAAACTACCACTTTAAAGGTGTCGAAGGGCATATAATCAAAAAAGTCAAAGCAAGTTATCGAATGTTTGATTATAACGAAGTCAATCCAAGTATTTGTTCTCCCCGAGTGCTTAGCAATGTGATTACTTCTTATATTTCCATGTGTCAACCATAGAAATCGTAAAATGTCTTAGCAGTGCCGCATAAACTTAGGAAATCAAGATTCTTTTTTTCCAAAAAATATTTTTAAATATTTTAATAGAACTTTTATTGCCAATCAACATGCTATCAATTTGACAGTTAATGATAAAGGTCGTGATGATTCTTGCATCGTTATAGTAATATTTTTAATAGCAATTTTCATCCACAGATCTATCAGCATCATTAAGAGAAATTGGCAGTGACTTCATTGCAAGAAACCTTCGCGTTGATGCTATGTTAACCTCTCCTAAATGAATTATTTCAGATTAACCTACCGTGAAGCTCTAGCTCCCGTCCCACCAAAAATCGATGATACCACTCCAATGATGTGTATTGCTTGTGTGGAAGCTAGTTCATATTGCTCCCTTATAGGCATTTTGCCGACATGCTTCCCAAATACAACTAGGATGAACTCATTTAGCTTCTCAATTTGATAAATTCTATCACCAAATCACAAAGTTGTCAACTAACTTTTGTATCATGACCTTGATTTCTGTGAAAAATATAATATTATGATGGGCCTTTGGAATTAGCACCATCCCTCATCAATGATGATCACCAAAACGGATCCTCACTGCAGATGTGATCCATTATTTCTGCTAGAGACACTCAACAGAGTAATAACCAAGAACTATCAAGGTGGCCGTGGCAATTCCTTTTTTCCAAGATAAAAATTTATTATATTTTGCAGTCGCCTCAGAGGGTGGAAGTCTACTATGAAACCATTTTTGTGAGGTGTCATGACTTCTTAACCAACTTGTTCCAATTACTTCTTGACTAACTTCCTCAGTTCATAGAAAGCCATCTCAAATTCCTATCGTCCAAAAGTCAAGTTGCCATGATAATGAAACATTTAATATGATATTGTACTCTTCTACATTTCTATGACTGTTAACAAGTTCTAGCAACTTGACTTTCTTCTCTATAAAAAAAAATTGAAAAAGTATAAAAAAGGACCTCTCAGACGCTGAGTCAATGCAACTTAAGGGGTACCACTAGCTTCTAGTATTTAATCTCCATCATATCCAATAGGAAAAAAATTAAAATTCCTAATTGACTACCATTGCTATGGATTCCTATCTAGTGGCATAGGTGCTTATGACAACAACTGGCATAAGAACATGTGGACTCTCAAAAAGCACTATAAAACCAAAGATTACGTAGTCAAAATGAATGCACGAGGAGACACAACTACCACATCTGAACTTGTGGATGCAATGTTTTGGCTTGCAAATAAGGACTAGGAGAGCAATATGCATTTCAACTTAAAATGTAACATGTGAAGCTGAAAGCAATAAATTTTGACGGGAACAAACTTCTGTGCCAACAATATATCTAAGGCAGAGTAGAGAATTTAAGATACAGGCTTATATTTTCTAACTAATAACTATATGGGTGTGCATAAATCAGTTGAAAACATAGAAACTTAACCAATCTTAAACTATTTTGTTGGCTAGTTCAATTTTAACAGAGATTAATGTGATGGTTTTTGATCTATTGTTCAACTACTGCATCTAGAATCAATTAAAACTGATTAAAGTTTTAGGTTTTTAATCTCTATTAAGAATTCAAACCCTTAAACTTTATAAATAAATGTTCTAGTACAATGCATTGGATTTTGGATGGATTCCTCATCCATTCCATAATCAAAATTGCAAGTAGACTGAATTTCAAAGTTCAACAACTACAAAATCTACAATGACAACCAACAAGTAACAACAAGTTTTTATACTACATTATTCCTTTTCCTCTAATGTGTGCTATAGAGTGTCATATTTTCATTTAATTCTAATAAATTAAGATCACATTTTATACAACATGCCCAAGTCTTTTTAGGTCTACTAAACAAGTACAAAATATAGTTGCCAAAGTTTTAACTTTGGCAAAAACAAACTAAACCAAGTTGGTTTCATTTATGGGATAGGTTTGGGTTGAATTAGCTTGTCCACGAGAAGAATGAAAAACAATTAAATTGTCTTGTTTGTTGAATCATAGGTCTGCGCACACTTCATTCATCCATTGCATTAATTTCATAGGCTTCGAATTTTGATATTTGGCAGAGGATTACTTTCCTGCAGGTATTAACTGAATTTTAACGGGATCAAAAAGTAATGCAAGTTCTTATTGTAGTAAACTGAATAAATTATACTGGTGAGTGGTGATATCATCTAAATTTAGAGTCAGAGAGGTGGGAAGGGAGAGAGAGAGAGGGGAATATACGAGGCTATGCTTGTAGAGATGACATCCCTCCCTCCCTCTCTCTCTCTCTCTCTCTCTCTCTCTCTCTCTCTCTGATGAATTCTAAGTAATTATAAGATTCTCCGTTTCCCCAGCTCAACTGAAACTCTTGACTACAAAGAAATTCGAGTAAAATGAAATGAAAAAGAAGTTTACAATCTCAAATCAATGACTTTTTAATCCTAATCAACACGTAAGTTACTTGGATTTCATTTCATTCCTTCAAAACAGAGCCTTATTAGAATCCCTGCCACGTTTTTTTCCGCTTTATTTCCAGGCAAAAACAAAAAAGGAAACATGACCACAACTTATCAAGCAAGTTCTACGTCCAACAGATCCAAAAGTGGGACAGTATTTCCAGATCAACTGAAGCAAGCAACCTCGTCCCCGGAATCAAATTATTGGTAGTGAAAAATGCCGCTAAAGAAGGTCCAACTTTGGCCTAGAACATGCCGCCAAATCCAAAAAAAGAAGAGAGAGACATAGAGAAAAGAAAAAAAACAAATAATCGCAAAGAAGAACATAGGTTTTGCAGGATCTATCCACATTATAATCTACAAAATGCCCAATTCCAAACAGCATCAACAGATCTATGAAAAAACAACAATCAAAAACTTGAAATGAATAAGAAAAAGTTCTTTCAAATCACACCTCCAAACAAGGAACGCCGAAGAGATTACTGCCTGAAGCCGGAATTTGAGCGTAGGGTTTGGCCTCCCTCTCCCTCTCCCTCTCGCGTGAGATCAGACGGAATGGGAAGGAGCGTGCGATCAGACGGAATGGGAAGGAAGCATGCAAGGCGAATAAGAAAGAAGCGTCGGCCGTATTAAATGAATTGAAATGGAAAAGAAATTACTTGCAATTTTTATAGTTAAGAAGGTTTACATGTATACATGAAAAAGTGTTGGGTCATTTGCATTCATGCCACTTAATTCCTATTTATTTACAGATCTAACTCCTGATTTTGTTTTTTCAAACATTTGTCTCCCAAAATGTTCATATCACATTGAAAATAACAAAATATAAGATGCAACTTTTCATGTACAGGTAAGGTGATATGTAAAAAATTTAGAGGTTTAGGTGTTAGATATGTAAATACATAGGAATTGAGTGATATGTAAGCAAATCTCCCAGAAGTGTAATTCACTTCTTAAAGTTAAAATAGTGTTATTTCTTATGTGATGCAGTATATTTGGATCGGCTACATGAATCATTTTTTCTCCATTGCCTCCTATTGAGTGTCAAATTTTCATTTAATTCTAATAGATTAAGATCATTTTTTATATAATATGTCAAAGTATCTTTATTTTTCTTAAAATAATTCAAATCTAAAACATCTACTCTCCTAACCGAATCATCAGATGAACAACGTTTAATGTGACCAAATCATCTAATACAATTTTCTCTTTTTATGCCTGTGACTGGTGCTACACCGGCCATATCACGGGTATATTCATTTCACATTTTGTCTCCAAGTTTCAAGCCACTCATCCACTTCAGTATTCTCATATCAGCAATTCTTAGCTTTGTTTCATGCTTCTCTTTTAAAGGCCAATATTCTACTCCATAGAGCATTGCAGGTTTCGCCATCATCTTGTAAAATTTTACTTTAAATCTGAGTGATGCTTTTCTTTAACACAATAAGATAGCTGCATTCCTCCGCTTCAACCAACCAACTTGAATTCTGCTAACAGCATCCTCATTTATATCATCATCACTTTGAAAAATAAAATCACAATATTTAAAAATTAAAATATTTTAATTTTATTGATCATAAAATTTGGGTGTTGGATATGTAAATATGTAAGAATTACATGGCGCGAATGTAAATTTCCAAAATTTATTATGTTGATCTTCTTCTAATTTTTCAAAATTAGACATAATCATGTGATAAAACCAAATAGATTAAAAAAAAAAAAAATTATGGAATTTATAAGCTAAAAAAAACATGAAATTAAAATTGGTGATGCAATCTTTCTTCTCCAATACGCCGGACGCGTATAATAGTCGGCGGGAACGTGTATCACGTGATCAGTGGGCGGGTGGACGGTCGGCCGAACTATAATGTAGGAGCCAGACGTGAGATCAACCGTCCATTGACTGTTTCAGATTTGATGGCGGGTTCCATGGCCCTTGATCCTTTGCGCCACTGCAACGCGGAATTTGATGCGGGCTTCCTAGCTCGAAATAATGAGAGGAAAACTCTAGGATCATGCTTTGAGATTCGTGAGGCGGTGAAAACTGAAATGCTATGAAAAGCCATGGAGGTGATGAGTACGTGTATCTTCCTATGTTGTGAATTATATGTCGCTTCTTTTGTCCAACTATTGTTGCGTCGGATATTTTTATGCGACAAGACACCATTATTTTGACCACGTTTTGGTTTAGAAAGAAAAGTCAAATAGCACTCTGTCTTTTTATTTTATTTTATTTATTATATATATATATATATATAGGGAAAAATGAGGCTCACACCAAATATTATTCAACAAAAAATTGAGTTCAAAATTCAAAACATTATAACCAGAGGCTTAACTAGTCTTTTTTTTTAGGGAGGTAAATTATCCTAATAAACCCAAGGTAGGAGGGAGCTAGAATAATGAAAGACAAAGTGATATTTAAGAAGGGGAAAATTTGATATTTCAGGAGAGGCAAAAAATTAAATTGTCATATTATATAAGTAAAAATCTGAATTTGACGTAGAGTGATTGCCCCACTAGACCCTAGTTGGGTCCGCCTTCGATTACAACTTCACACAAAACAAAAAGTAAATACCTATAAAGAGAGACGTGAGAAGACAACAAATACTAGAGTAATAATGCTCTGAAAGAGAATAAAAAATAACTAAAACAAATTGCAAAACCAACAACAACCTGATACCCACCATAAGAGGCAGACAACTTCATGAGAGTATATATCAACAATTCATTTCCCCAATGAGCAATATCCAGGAGCATCTCAAATCGAAACATAGAAGTAAGACATTCCATGCAACAACTTCAACATAGAAGTACAACTCACAAAATTAAAAACCAGCTACAAAAAAAATCAACATTCAATTCGAACATCAGCTTGTCCTTAAGAACTGATACCACATCAAGAAGAGGACATCTATGTCATAGTCGAGTTAAAGGACCTTGAAGAGAACAAATGAACAAAGCTAAGAGTCAGAAAGGAAATATGTTTTACAAATCACAAGCTCAAATTACCTACTTATAAAAACCATTAAACCATGTACAATGAATATATTGAAAGAGCATTCAAAATATTCAAAGTACAATTGAATTTTAATGCATGGCTAGAATTCATTATAACAAACCAAAACCAAAATCAAATAAAAAGTTTAAAGTAGATATGTTCTTATATACTAATATTAATACAAAAATATATGTCATATCAATTTAAATCCAAAACAATAACGAGACGCGCGCGCGCACACACACGTGCACAAAAAGTTATATAAGTAAAAAATGAGGATTTTTTCGTAATGAAGATTTTTTCGTCATAAAAAACTTAAGAAGAATAAATGTAAAAAGTAAAATTTATATATTAGATATGTAAATATATAAAAATTAAGTGGCATATTGGGTACCCCGATCTGCTGGTTAGCATCCATGACATAAAACCTCTCAGTCGGGGATTCAAATATCCTCTGACACAATTAGAATTAAGTAGGTTGTACTCAAATTATTAGGCACATTAGGAATGACTCGAAGCTTTAGCCTTCTGATCATTTTCTTAAAATATAAGAATTAAGTGACATGCAGCCTCCTTTGTTAAAAATTATAAATTTATAATTGTTTAATACAAAAATAAATATTAAAAAATATATGGTACATAATTTAGATGGCACCGAGCATATTAAGAATCTATTTGAGACAACTTTAGCCTTTTATAAATGATTATAAAATTATAGTGGAAAAATTAAATTAATATTATAAGTGCTATAATTATAGTTTTCTTTTTTAAAAAATAAAATAGTACATTTCTTATAGCCACAAAAAACAATAATAAAATAATAAAATAATAATAGCCTGACAAAGATTAGACAGCCTTTTTAAACTACATAGAAAATTAAAGCTACCAAAATAAGCCCGAGTCAAAATACAAGTCAAATTCGGCAGAATAAACAAAATGTAATATATTGTCCGAATCATTAAAAAAAAAATTGTTGGTATAGATATAAAATACAAATTTAGGTGCCAGGTATGTAAATACATTAGAATTGAATGGCGTGCATGTAAATGCTCCAAATAGACAATCATGCATTATTTGGAATAAGATAAAAAAAAACAATGATTACATTAAAGTACATTAAACTATGTTTCATTACACATGCAAAGAGCCTTGTTTTTAGAGACAATTACATACAGACCCCCCCAAACTTGCTATTTACAAATCAACCTCCCCATTCACTCAAATATCAAGCTCATGGTAAAACCCCAAACCATTTTTTTTTTCATTTCATATCAAATTCTCGATATTTTGATCGTGACGTATTACATACGTCACGATCAAAATATCGAGAATTTGATATGAAATGAAAAAAAAAATGGTTTGGGGTTTTACCATGAGCTTGATATTTGAGTGAATGGGGAGGTTGATTTGTAAATACAATGATCGTGACGTGCGTAAATACAACAGTTCAGTAGTTCAAAAAACATCACCTGTTTAATTTATAAATATCAATGTTTCGAGCGGTCTACATGTAAATTAAAATCTATCATTTTCACAACTTAAAAGAACTAGCGAACGATAAAATTTGAAAATAGAATAGAAATATACAAACAACAATAAAGCCTTAATCCCACTGCGTGGGTAAAAAATAGAATAGAAATATAAAGTGAATGGGGAGGTTGATTTGTAAATACAATGATCGTGACGTGCGTAAATACAACAGTTCAGTAGTTCAAAAAACATCACCTGTTTAATTTATAAATATCAATGTTTCGAGCGGTCTACATGTAAATTAAAATCTATCATTTTCACAACTTAAAAGAACTAGCGAACGATAAAATTTGAAAATAGAATAGAAATATACAAACAACAATAAAGCCTCAATCCCACTGCGTGGGTAAAAAAATAGAATAGAAATATAAAGTTGCAAAAAAAATAAAAAAGCATGCCAAATTAATTTATAATAAAGAAAGTTTTCTGCACCTACCATATAAATTTACTTCTTCATATTTCCAAGATTTCTCTTCAGAGATCTAACAATGGAAGAAAGCTCATGCTTTTCATTCTCCAAACCGGCTCCAGGTTTCTTCACAACATCAATGTCATTTGAGCCAGATAAAGTATGTTTCCCAAAAACCTCATCATCCAAATCTTCCTCTTTCGAACCAATCTGTTTCTCAATCTGTTTCCTAGCAAATGCCACACTCCTGTAAAATCAAATAAGAAAAACAAGAAATTCCCACATTATTAAATTTGAAATTTTGGAGGATATGCGATTGAGTAAAGCACCAAAATAGTCCTCTTGACTATTTATATTATGTTATTTTAGTTCCCGGGTCTATAAAAAGTGTCAATTTAATCGCAGACTTATTTAATATGAGCTAAAATAATCTTCAGGGAGGACTATGTTAGGCCCTGTTCAAAATTGGCATTTTTATAGACTTAAAATGATCGCCTCCAAAAAATAAGGGGACTATTTTAACACTTTTCTCTTGAGTTATATAATAACAATAGGATCGAGATTTGAAGAGTTGGGAAAAAAAAGATACCTCTTATATTGTGGATCAGTAGGATCCAAGGCATAGAGATGATTGGAGTAGAGAGCTGCAAACCGAGGATCATTCGAACAATCCACATTAGGTAATTTTTCCTCTGCTGCAGCCTCTTTCCTTTTCTTCCCCTTGATCTTTTTGGATTTCATGTTATAACCCTTGGGACCTTTGTCTATCTCCTGATCTTCAGCAAATAATAGTTCCAATTCCGCTCTACTTGCTTCTTGCTCTTTTTCAATTTCTTGAGGATGTTCTATTCCTTCTTTATGTTTCGTCCGATCCTTAGATCTCTTATTTTTTGTGTTGCTCGTCTTACTATCAACATCCAAAGAATCTTCGACGAAGAAATCATCCGGCAGCTTGGGCGCTTCTTTTACATCGTAATCGCTAGAGTCATCGTCGGAAGAATATTTGAGCCTGTTTTGACTCGCCTTTCTCTTTTCGCTTCGCCTTCTTAGAACTCGCTCCCATGCCGTCTCTATTTTCGTATCCCTTTTCTCGAGAATTCGCTTGCTTAGATCCTCTAGGCCTGTATTGAAAGTGATCTCCATGTCTCTGTCATCTTTGCTCTCATCAGAATCAGAGTTGTTGTTGGAATCAAGGAGAGCTCGCAGCTTTTCTATATTTCCATGATCATCATCACTGTCATCAGTTGATGCTAAGTATTCATTCAAGTCATCAAGCTTCAGAAGGAAAAAAAAAAAGGTTCAAGTATCAGATGATGAGAATAAACTGCTGGAAATATTTACATTAGTACCAGTAGAAAACAAAGGCAACATTGAAAATTATGATTCAAACCATTTAGTATAAAATTGGATGTGGACTTTGTAAGAAACAATAAAGGGGCATTTGCATACATACCATCCAGGTCTTACATATTCACATATATAACACCCAAACTTTCTTTTTTTACATTTATATCACCCAAAACTGTCATATCACATAAAATATATCACTATTTCAACTTTCAAAAAGTGAAATACTCCTTTTCATGCATAGGAAAGATGTCATATATGTAAAAATTGAAGTTTAGGTGTTAGATATACATAAGAAATGAGTGGTACGTAAGTAAATCTTCCAAAAATAAAAACCATAACTTAAATGAAACCGAGTGGAAATCTCATCGTGCACTGTAAAGGTATAGTGCAATAAGATTACATTATTTTCAGCTACATGAGATTGTAAGTGACTGCTCAAACAATTAAAATCATGTCAGGTTTGGCTTGATGTTTCTAAGCAAGCTGGCTCTTTTTTTAGCTGAAAAGCTCTTAAATAAATGCGACCAACTTTTGTTATATTCCCTTTAATTTGAACGAGTGGGGAGAAAAAATTCATATCAGCTTTAACTTGATGCAGTCGTGCAACTGAGCCAAGCTCACCTCAATAAGTAGCTCATAAGCTGAGCTCGATGAGCAAACAAGCCAAGCTCGAGTCATTCCTGACTCGACTTGTTAGCTCGTGAGCCGGATCATTTAAGAAAATATTAATATAAAATTTCTTATAAATTTTATATCAAATGATTTCTTATAATTTATCTCCCAATTGTTTATTCTATTTATCATTTTATTATAATACTACGTTCAATTAATATTATTTTCTGTTTCATAATATATAAGCCGGTTCAAAATCATAGAGAAGCTCGAGCTCAAGCTCAAACTCAATTAATTAATTAGACTGAAGCTTAAGATGAGGGTGGCTCGAGCTCAACTCGACTAGTTTACACCCCCAAAACTGATGCTTCAAAGTAACCTGGTTCTTTTTTTCTCCGGTGAAGGGCTCTTAAATAAATGCGGCAACATTTTTAACTTTCCCTTTAAATAGAACTATAAGTTGCTTTGCAAATTTTTCAGACAACACCCAAAAAAAATATAACAGAACATTCGGCTATACTGGGCACATGTACAAGACAACAGTAAGGTATCTGCTTCCCCACATCTAGGCTCCTGAAACTGCAAAACTGCAAATGGTGGACGAGCGAGCCGCAATTTTCCTAGGTGATTTAATTTGGATGAAACTGGTAATGACAATCTTGATAATTTACCACATTATACTTGAACAAGTAAGCTTCTAATAATAATAAATCCTATAAGCAGCCTCATCATAGATTTATCACAAACTATTTTGGCAGGCCTGCTGTAATTTTCTTCTATCATGTTTTTAGGATCACCTAAACAATATCCGAAATAGATGTTTAAATTTTAATTCAAAAAATGTTTTAAAATTCAGTTTCAAACCTATCATAAAATTTCAATTTGATAGCCTTGATAGTTTCGTTAACTTTAGAATTTATTATAGAAAATTTCAAAATCTATACACATATACATATAAGGGAAGAAACAAAGAATATTATCAGATTATAGGATTAAGGTATAACATCCTAACATTTAGCGGCGCTTCAATAATAGAATTTTAGTAGAATTTGTTGGAAACTCATGAGTTCGTTCTTTGCAAAAATTCCTTTATTGAAACTCAAGAATTTCTACTAAAACTTCACAAATCAGACAACAATACCAACAACTACAACAAGAAGTCTTTATGCCACTAAATAGGGATTAGCTACATGAATTATTTTTCTCCATGGTGTCCTATTGAGAGTCGTATTTTCATTTAATTATAATAAATTAAGACCATTTTTTATACAACATCCCTCAGTATTATTAAGTATATCTCTACCTTTCTTAACATAAGTCAAATCTAAAAGATCACTCTTCTAAATGCGTCATCAGATGATCGACGTTTAATGTGACTAAACCATCTAAGGAGACTCTCTCTAATCTTGTCAGCCATTGGAGCTACTACAACCCTTTCACGGAGATATTCGTTTAGATTTTTGTCTGTAAGTGTAAATCCACTCAGCCACCTGAGCATTCTCATCTCAGCAACTTCACAAATCAAACAAAACTAAAAATATTTATTGGTTTCTAATCAATTCACCCAAAATCAACTTAAAACCATCAAAATCTAACCAGAACAAAAACATTAAGTTTTAGACCAAGTTTAAGCATTTCAAACCTATTTCAAGCATTATTGATCCGAAAACACATGCTTTTATTAGGTTTCAATAGCATGAAATCATTTGAGAATACATGAGAAAGTCTGCCAAACTTTTAGCCCAGCATGTCCTCCATGATGCAAACTGAGGCTAAAGAAGGTGAATGGGTACTACTGATGTAGAGGTTGAAAGAGAGAAAGAGAAGAATAAAATGGATGATATAAAGAGAAGAGCAATGCTCAATCTATTTTCAATATTCAAGTTGTTCTAAATACAATATCAAAACTCCATATATACATAATGCCTACATAAATTGCATATGACATTTAAACAATAACATCATGCATCTTCATAAATATCAATATGAATATGTTTGAATAGAATTGTGTTGATTATAGATTATCAAGCACAGATGACATGAACATTACTATACTGGGAACAGCCAGAGAACGTGATTTTTCTTTTTTTATTAATCTAATGTGACAACTTGAAGAATACATATGTTATCTAGTGTATAATGAATCATGCATTTTATTATTGAAGCTGCATGCCCTGATACTTTACCAATTATGCTTTAATAAGAAGTTATTTATTAGGTTTGAATTATCAAACTCACCAGTGATAAGATTTTCTTATTGTAAATTCTACGAGTGTTTGGAGGATCATCACCATATGAGCATATTTTTCAGAAAAAAAATTACATTTGATATTTTTGTAATAAATTGATTTATATTTCTGTTGAATTTGAATAATTTTGTTTCTGAAGTTGTTCATTTCAATTCTTCTCATCAGTCACTATTGTCGCTGGTTCATTATGATAGTGTTATATAATCTATTAAAATAATTAAATAATAAAATATTCTCTAATTTTCTTTACATATTTTTATTTTTGATAATTATTTGTAAATGAATCTTCCTTTTGTGGGTACAAAACAAGTTTAACTTGATCATGACTTTTCAAACTAGTTTTAAACTTTGAGGTACATCCCTTCATCGCGTCCCGTGCTGCTACGAAATACAGCCCTCTGAATCTAGTGGGTGACAAATGCTATATATTCATGTTACTTCAAACCAATTGTAAAATAAATTAAAATCAATGAATTGCTTTTACATTTATACTCCTATTTCTTGATATCAAACAACCCCTAAAGAAGAACTGGAAGTATTCGAAAGAGTAGGAAATGTGGCGAGGGACCAATAAATTGCAAGTTAATCTATTTTAAATTTTCATCTATATTATCATTTTTTGGAATTTAGTTATTATAGTGTAATTTTAAATAATTTATTTTCTTTATACAATACTTGCTACTAAAAATTTTGATCTAAAGGAGTAAAGCTTGAATTGGAAGAAAGACTTTATTAGTTGTTTGGTTGTATAGTAACAAATGGTGATGATTTTTTACTTCCAAGCTCTAGAAGAATGCCTTCTAAATTAAGAAAAGGACAATAAGATTTATCTGAACATAAAGAGCATCACAATGATAAGCTGCACATTGTACATATTAAAGTTGAAAGAACCAGCAGAAGCATCCCATAATAATCTCCTATAACTGAGCCAGATGGCCGATCTATTAATGTAAGAAAAAGAACTTAACAATCAGGTCGGGTGATAAGCAACTAAATATGAATCACATAGAGGATCTCATGAAAGCTATGTGGTCTGTTAATTACACCAAACTATTTCAAACTTATTTCAAACAAACGATATAAATCTAAATTTAAGTTCAAATTTAAGGTCGTTGCACAAAAGTGGTACAACATGACCTAAGCTGATGATGGTGAGATGTGGACAATATCTTACTAGGTTATAAAACACTATAATTTAACTCAATTGTAGTGAAAAGCAAACAAGGAATGGCTAAAACAATATGTAACGGCCTAAACTCTCACTCATCGAAATATTATCTGCTTTGGCTTAATGGCCTCACATTTGTCCTATTATTGTAACTTCCCAGGAGGTACTGACACCATTATAGGGCTCCTATTAAGTGTTTAAGGACAATTAAAAGAGTTAGAAACATTGTAGGAAGGGCAATGGGAGTGGGAGGAGGGATGTCGGCTGAATTATGGCATGAACGGCAGCAGGGCAGCAGGCCAACAGCTGAACACGACAGTCTTCCTGCTGTAAACAGAAGACAGCAGCAATTTCGATGGCTGTTGGGATTGAAAGCAACAAAGAAAACTCTGAAACGGCGACGTTAAGATGGCGAGGAGGTTCCACCACTTGTTTCTGAGTAAGATACAAACACATCACTTGCAAAAGAAAGATGATACAGTACTCCTAAAGCACAACATCAAAGATTACAATATCCAAAATACTCAAAACAAATCAAAAGTTCTCCAAACATAGAAAACAACACATAAATAAGTTTCTAACAGAAAATAAATCAAATTAAAAAAAAAGGAAAAAAGTCGAATGACAAAAATTTCGCTAGGAATTGCCAACCGGACGGGAACTACTCGTTTGATCTTTTCGTGATCACGGGAAATCCCTTTTCCATAATATAATGGAAATCCTATGAACCGAATTGTGGGATTTTGTGACTTGGGTGTCACTCTTGCAACATTTTCCCTAGCTAGCAAAGGCAAAGCTTCTTCGCTGGAAAGACTTAGATTCCATTGTCGTGTCTTCTTTCTCATAAAGCACTTAAGGAGATTTCCAAAGTTGCAGTTCATTATTTCTATCTAGTC